CTTCTCGTAATTCATAGACCCTACTTAGAGAACTTTGCCTCTTGATAACCAACGTACCTCTATATGGTACAAAAGTGCATTAAATGCAGCACCAACTTCATCACAAAAACTTTAAATAATCTTGAGTTAGTAGCGCTGCCTCGAATACGATTAACAATTTTTACTATATCACTCAACGTGTTTAGCAAATCTGGTGGTAGTGTTTTTACAGCCAAGCGTAACGGTGTATCAAACAATGATAGTTGAAAACTTGAGGAGCAACTTGTTTCACAAGAGACTGAAAACCAGAACGGACGCCCATCATGGCAAGTGCCTCGTCTGTACAAATACCAACCAGCTTTAACCAGTCCAGGCCATTTTCTCAATAAATCTTTTAGAGTCTGAAATACGTCTTCGCCGCGAGTAGTAGTGGGCAAAGACTTGCAGAACAAATATTCCTCCTTCACATCATCATTTTTAATGTATCGTGTAAACATTAATAATTGTGAACACGAAGCAACATCTGTGGACTCGTCCAACTGCAGTGCAAACATAGGACTTTCCTTTATTTTAGCAATAACGGTTGCTAGAATATCGGCACTCATTTCACATATGCGTCTTTGAATGGCATTGTTTGATAGTGGTATTTGGTTAATCTTAGCTATATGTTGCTCACCTATAACAAGTGTTACCGCATCTAATATGCAAGGTTTGATGAGGTCCTCTCCTATAGTGTGTGGTTTTTATTACGTGCGATACGATACACAATTTTGTATGAAGCTTGAAGGCATGATTCATTTGCTTTCTGTATGTTGCCTGTAGAATCCATGCGCGAAAACTTTAGAATCTTCTCCTTTTCTTAAAAAAATCTATATTTTTATCTGCAAACTTTAGCAAAATGTTCTTTTAAATCGTTCGGTTTCATGCTTTTGGCGCTTTTTGCCAAATGGAATAGAAGCCATGTCAAAAACACCTGTAGGTACCTAAAACAAAAGTTAACTAATACATACCAACAAAACAAGTCACTCGTGACAATATAAACGTGACGAACGTGACGATATTAACAAACACTACTTACCTTTGAATTTAAACAATACGATTTCTGCAATGCGCGGTGGAACAAATAAAATGCGTTATTTAATAAACTTAAATAACTCAACACAATTTTCATACATTTACTACCGATACTTCGTTAAATAAAACTATTTGGTTATGTGTCCTTCTTGACGTCCAGCCGGAAATTTAGAGTCGTAGAAATGAATAGAGTGAAACTCGAATGTGAACTCCATAGAGAAATATAGTTGGCACATAGAGGCATAAATGTGTCGCTATATAGATGAGGGTGGGAGAAAGAAAAAAAAGGGATTGTATTGTCTGTTCTGACAGAAACGTCACCATTCTTTATAAAATGATCAAAAAAATTAATATTATAAATGATATCCTTCAATGACCACAAATTTTTATCAAACATACACAAATAAAATCAAGTTTACAGCCGGTACAGTAAGTGTTAATGTTTATTATAAAAAATATGTTGAATATAATGGCATTAGATAGTTGTGGTGTTTCTATACTGAGCTCTAAAGTTATACTAAATAAAAATTATTAAAAATTAATATTAACAATATTAGCCCCGCCCGTAAGGCGGGTTACATTAATTTATGAATCTGAGGGGAATGATTTCTTAGACTTAGTTCAAGTCATTTTGCAGACACATAAAAAGCTATCGACGCGGATGTAGACGGTCCTGACACATAAATTAAGCCCAAAAATTAAAATATCTTATATTACTAATGCGTTTGTACATGAAAGTGTGAAAGACATGCAGACGACGGTCCACGTGGCCTGGCGACTGTCCATCGTATCGGAATACGAGACGATACGACACCCTTACAAAAAAAAAAAAAAAACAGTTTAGGTTACCTCCATTGGAATCCTTAACAGCTATTATAGCTACCGGCTAAACTAACTGGGATGGATCATTCGTTTTATTAACGTTTGACCGGAGCTAGTCGCAAAATATTGCGCAGTGTGCAAAAGCAGCGTGCCCATTCACCGGTGAATGTGCACTAGAGATGGGTAACTCACTCCGATACAACTCCTCCTCGGAGTGAATCCGAGTGGAATCGTCTCACCGGATTTGTCATATCCGACTTTCCCAAACTAGTACTAAATCTGTTACCGCGTTTTTGCTTTTACACAATTATATAATTGTGTAAAAGTAATAATATGCTAATGGAACTACCCGATATAATATTAATTCTCGAATGGAAATAGCAGAAGAAAAAATTAGAAAGCAAAAGTATTATTATTTGGTGAAAATATTTTAGGATAAATGTTTTGCTTTTATTACAAAGTTTACTACAATATTTTTATATACAATTAATCCAAAAAATCAATTATTTTCTCATCAAAAGAAAATAATTAAATTAAATTCGATTCTCAAGTTTTACGTTTGGTCAGCACTGTTAAAATTACGAGCCATTGAGTCGATCATGTGGTCGACCGAAAAATTTTACAACTCGTCATTTTTTTGTGAATTATTTTATTGATAATTTTTAATTTCATTTTATTCATAAATTTTCATTTAAAAAAATTAAATGGGATTTGACAAATCCTTAGGTGCATTAACAACGCACAATAGAACACATTTGTGCCGACTATTTCAGTTTTAAAGTGGTCGGAGTCCTGGACTAAGGACTCCGACTGTTAAGCGGGTATAACTCCTCCCTGAAGCGGAGTCAAATCCGAATTGATCCGGCTTCGGATATGATAAGGCCATCTTTAATGTGCACATACACCAAGAGTGCACATTTACCGTAACATATATAATAAGTTATTTTAAAATTGAGTACCCTCATCAATCATATTTTCCCTTTGTGTTGAAATCATTGTATTATTATCTAATTCTATTTTTTCTGCCACACAGTATGAATGACCTTCTTCTTTGCCATTTCACAATGTGTTTTGGCAACATTTTTATTTGAGTCTTCGGTTTCGATTCTGCATATAATCAAAATAATCGCAAGAACCTCGGCAGCTTGCTCTTCATTTTCACTTGATATCAACCAATACAAACATTTTTTGTACAATTTGGCTATACATGAACGAAGGGATTTTAAAATAATTGTGTATAACTTAATAAACCGTGCTACATCAATGCGTTTATAGCATGATGGTAAATTTTTAGCAAATAAATAGTCGGCATATTCTACAATTGTATTGTAATTGGTGAATGCCCTCACGCAAGTTGACAAACGTGCTTGCGACTGATCACAGACAATTTCCTTCGGAATAGAAACTCCAGATCGCACAAATTCCTTTAGGCGTGTCGGTATGGCTACCATATGATGCGCTTCTGATAACATTTGTGCCACTGGAAATGTTCCACTATCGGTGATAACTGCACATTGATATAAAAATATATTTTTAGTCAGTTGTTCATTGAAACGGTTTATTTTCTCTACGACTCCCCCGGTTGCATCGATTACACAGGTCAACAAAGAATATGGTGCAATCGATTTTAATACTGTTTTTAAGTATATTTGGGGTGCTGATTTCAAAAATGACATTGTTTTTTTTCTATGAGCTTTAGTTTTCAAGATACGATATATATGATATATTTTACGATATTAGGTGCGCAACTAAGTTCTCGCTGTTTTTTCGATAAAAATGTAACTTTATTATAAAAAATTGCATCAATTAAGTTCGATACAGTTCTCCAGGTTTCACTCGGTTTCAACAGCTCATAACAAATAACACCGACCTGGTCCCACCATATGTAGAGCATAACCTTTGCAGTGAATATTCGGCCGAACCGAGATTTTCTCCTCTTTGGATTGCTATAATAAATTCATTTTTTATCACCTGTCGCGATGTGATGAAGAACCTCTTTTTCGCCGCTGGAGCAGTTGTTTACAGGCGAAAAAACGACGATCGACGTCTCTTGGCTTCAACTCACAAGGAACCGAAGTTTCTTGCTTCTAAATCATCCCCGACGCATGCAATAGCTTGGAAATGGCTTGATGGGTAACTACTCGTACATACAAACTTATAAGACCCATTCGGCCTTAGTTGGGACATTAGTTGACACTGTGAAAAGTTCTTTTCCGTGACGACCTCGAATGGACCTGGTTTCGGCAACTTCTTTGTATCTTAAAAATTATAGCTGATACAAAAAATTGGTTTGCAGATTTGAAATCAGCGCAAAAAATACTATAAGAATCAGCTCTAACATTTGAGGCACCAAAAAAAAAATTTTTTTTGTTGGCCTGTGTTATTAAACAAATGTTTTTTTTATTATAATCTTCTATATATATAAAAATAAGTCGGGTTTTCCTTCCTGACGAAATAACTCCAGAACGCACGAACCGATTTCGACAATTTTACATTCGTTGGAAAGGTCTCGGGCTCCGCAAGGTTTATAGCTAAGAAAATTTAAAAAAAATTCAACAGAAAAACGGAAAACATTTTCTTTTTTTACATGCGGCGTCATCTCTAAAACTTAGCATGTACTACAAACCAAACCGCAGTCGGTAGATGGCGCCGGTAGATATATTGTTTGACATCTCAATGTTCACCGTTCAGTTAAATTCAGGTGACAAACCGGCATTGTGTTTACAGTGAAATTGTGCAAAAAAGTTAAATAAGTTATTCTTTTCCGTACATCACGTGTTTTGTGCAAATTTTTGTATTTAAAGCAGGCGTTTGTCTTTAAGGCGGTAAGTTAAACTGTGTAAATTATGTGGATAGTGCATTTGAGTTTAAATTCACCACTCTGTCCATAGTCTAAAATGCCTATAGGACGACGTGCGAACATCGGTCGCCGCACAAGACATGCAAGCCAGCAGCAAGTGTATTTACTAAACTTAAGCGAAGGCAGACAAAATATAATAAGACAAAATGCCCGGTTAAGACAACGCATCAGTACACGTAGATCATTGACATCATACAATCGCTTGGCATTCCAGTATGATCCCACTGCAAACTACAGTGATGATAAAAATTTTGATATTGGACCAATGCCGACTATATGCCGATATTGCAATGCGTTAAAGTTCAAAAGAGAAACGGCTGGTTTGTGCTGCGCAAGTGGAAAAGTAAAACTGGATCCATTACTTGCACCACCACCGCCACTGAAATCATTGTTTGATGGAAGTGACCCCGATTCCAGCCATTTTCTTCAACACATCCTTCAATACAATAACTGCTTTCGCATGACTTTCTTTGGAGCTAATATCATTCAAGAAGGCGGCTTCATGCCGACTAGCAAGGTAAAGATACAACGCACATAACCAATTACTCACACTAACAAAATGAATTGCACACCACACACTACACCATTACACGATCAGAAGTTACACCGTATTCTTCAACTAATGATTGTTTGCAATTACAGATACAAGGACAAATATACCATTTGCATGGTTCAATGGTGCCAACACCAAATGAACAGCATCAATTTCTGCAAATATATTTAATTTCGTCGATGGTGGATCAGCTGATTGTGTGGTGCAATATGCAGGAAGAGTTAAAGAGACGAGTTATTGAACAGTTGCAATCATTTTTTCACGCTAATAATGCTGTGGTTAACATGTTCAAAACAGCATTGGAACGAATGCCATCAGATACGCACAAATTTGTCATAAGAGCGGATTGTACCCCAAGAGGTAAACATGTGCGAAGATTCAATGCACCGACCGTTAATGATGTTGCTGCAATTATTGTTGGCGATCCAACTAAATCGCGAGACATTGTCGTTCAGCGAAGAAGCAATATCATGCATCGCGTAAACGAGACATTGTTTGTACGACGCGTTACAATATCCAATCATTTATTGGCAAGGGCAAGACGGTTAGGACATCACGTTGAAGATGGTCGATCCAATTACAGGTGCAATATTAACACACTAATTATTTTTATTATTGCTATTATTTGTTTCCATTAACAATTCATTTCATTTTGCATTTTCAGGCTTATCAACGAATAAAAATCTAAGCGCTATGAAATACTATGCATATCGTATGATGATTCGTCCACATGAGGAGAATGGCATTCTGAAGTGCCGTCGGCTATTCCAGCAATTCGCTGTCGACATGTATGTCAAAGTCGAGACCGAACGTTTAGCGTTCATTCCATTCAATCAGGCAAAGCTACGATCTGAGGACTATATACACTTGCGAGATGCTATTCATTCAGATGGTGATGTTCAGAATATTGGACGTCTCACGATTCTCCCATCATCTTATACCGGAAGTCCACGCCACATGCACGAATACGCTCAAGACGCTATGACGTACGTGCGACATTATGGAACTCCGGATTTATTTATTACGTTCACTTGCAATCCGAAGTGGACGGAAATTGAACGTGAGTTGGAAACGGGCCAAAAACCGCAAGATCGCCATGACATAATAGCCAGAGTATTTCAGCAAAAACTCAAGGTTATGATGGATGTGCTTACTAAGTATCGAGTTTTTGGTAACACACGTTGTTATATGTACTCAGTGGAATGGCAGAAGCGTGGACTACCGCATGCTCATATCCTAATTTGGTTGCTGAATAAATTACATTCAAATGAAGTGGATGAAATCATATCAGCTGAAATTCCTGATCCAGTCACTGATCCCCACCTACACGATTTTGTGACGACACAGATGGTGCATGGACCGTGCGGTGCATTAAATCCATTATCGCCTTGCATGGCTAATGGAAAGTGCACAAAACGATATCCGCGACCGTTAGTTGCTGATACATTCACAGGGAACGATGGATATCCAGTTTATCGTCGGCGTTCAAAAGAAGAAAATGATCGAACTATCAAAGTTAAAGTTCAAAATCAAGAGATAGAGATCGGAAATGAATTTATTGTGCCATATTGCCCGCTGCTATCTCGAATTTTCAGAACACATGCAAACGTTGAAAGTTGTCATTCGGCCAAATCAATCAAATATTTGTGCAAGTACGTCACAAAAGGCACCGACATGACTGTGTTTGGTATTGCGTCGGAAAATGCGAATGACGAAATTAGCAGCTTCCAAATTGGCAGATACGTCAGTAGTAATGAAGCACTGTGGCGATTATTGTCATTTCAAATTCATGAAAGATATCCCACAGTTATGCATTTAGCAGTGCATTTGGAAAACGGCCAAAGAGTTTACTTCACTGAGGCTAATGCGGCACAGCGAGCTGAGAGACCACCATCGACAACATTGACTAGCTTCTTTGCTATGTGTGAAGCAGATCCATTCGCAGCGACGCTGATGTACGTTGATATGCCCAAGTATTACACTTGGAATCAATCAACAAAGAATTTCCAACGCCGCAAACAAGGAACCCCAATTCCAGATTGGCCACATGTGTTTTCCACTGATGCACTTGGTCGCATATATACTGTTCATCCTAGAAGTGATGGATGTTTTTATTTGCGACTTCTGTTGGTAAATGTACGTGGACCAAAATCATTTGTGCATTTGAAAACTGTGAATGGCCACCGATGTCAAACATATCGAGAAGCATGTCAACTATTGGGTTTGCTGGAGAACGATTCTCATTGGGATCTAACACTTGCGGATTCAGTTGTTTCATCAAATGCGTACCAATTACGAACGCTGTTCGCAATTATCATCACCACATGCTTTCCTTCACAACCAATACAATTATGGAACAAATACAAAGACGACATATGAGAAGATATCTTGCATCGCTTGCGCATTCAAACTAACAATCCTGATATCCAAATAACCGATGAAATCTACAATGAAGGATTGATTCTGATTGAGGATCAATGCTTGACAACAAGCTACTAATTGAAGTAGGAATGATTGCGCCAAATCGATCGATGCACGATGCATTCAACCAAGAATTAAATCGAGAGCTGCAATACAATGTTGATACATTGCAAGAATTCGTTCGAAATAATGTGCCGTTGCTGAATGAACAGCAAAAACAAGTATACGAAACATTAATGCAAGCGGTGGCCAATAATACTGGTGGTCTATTCTTCCTGGACGCACCTGGAGGAACAGAGAAAACATTTGTCATTTCATTGATTTTGGCCACTATTCGATCAAGATGTGACATAGCTTTGGCGTTAGCATTATCTGGAATTGCAGCGACTCTTCTAGATGGAGGTCGTACTGCACATTCTGCACTTAAGTTGCCACTCAATTTAAACACAATTGATACTCCAACATGCAATATTTCCCGATCCAGTGCAATGGGAAAATTGTTGACGCAATGCAAGCTCATTGTTTGGGATGAGTGCACAATGGCGCACAAGAAATCACTTGAAGCACTTAACTTTACACTGAAAGATCTTCGGCGAAATAACAACATCTTTGGCGGCTTGATAATATTGTTGGCAGGCGATTTCAGGCAGACGTTGCCAGTAACTCCCCGTGGAACGCCTACAGATGAATTGAATGCTTGCCTGAAAGCATCACCTTTTTGGAATAACGTAAAAACATTATCGCTAACCACTAATATGAGAGTTCAACTTCAAAATGATCAAAGTGCTGCACAATTTTCCAAACAATTGTTAGCTGTTGGAAATGAGATCGTCCCAGTTGATGCGACATCTGGATTAATTACTCTTACCAATGACTTTTGCTGATTTGTAGATTCTCAATTAGAACTTATTGAAAATGTTTTTCCAAACATTAGCAAAAATTATTAGAATTATGCTTGGTTAAGTCAACGAGCAATTCTTGCCGCAAAAAATAATGATGTGCACGCACTGAATTTCACCATTCAGTCAAAAATTGCTGGCGATTTGGTGACATACAAATCCATTGATACCATAACAAATCCCGATGATGTAATAAATTATCCAACGGAGTTTTTGAACTCTTCGGAGTTACCAGGATTTCCACCACATAACGTGCAACTCAAAGTTTTCACTGTTATAATGACATTGCGTAATTTGAATCCACCGCAACTTTGCAACGGTACTCAACTTTCAGTAAGAAGACTTATGCCGAATTTGATTGAAGCAACCATTATTAACGGAAAGTACGCAGGTGAAAATGTATATATTCCTCGAATACCAATGATTCCGACTGGTCTTCCGTTTGACTTCAAACGATTACAATTTCCAGTTCGCCTTGCGTTTGCAATGTCAATTAACAAGTCGCAAGGCCAATCGCTTAGTGTTTGCGGTATAAATTTAGAAAATCATTGTTTTTCGCATGGCCAGTTGTACGTTGCCTGTTCACGAGTTGGGAAACCATCCGCTTTGTTTGTGTTAGGCCAAAAAACAAAAAAATGTAGTTTACCAAAAGGCTCTTCAATAAAACATATAATTTGCAGATTCACTTTCATTTACTTAGAGAACTTCAACTCATTTTTGTAATCGAAATAAATTCAATACTGTTGTGTAATAAAATCAAATTTTTCCTTTTCAAATATAAACCAAACAAAAAATTTCTTCATCTTTCTGACGAAACCATCTGGTGGCGAAACGGAGTTCGTCGGGTTTGCTAGTTGTTATATAATTGTTTCTGAAAATTCGTAAAGTAATGAACAACAAATGGATTTAATCCAGTATTAAGTATTGAGTTGTTATATTCGCTAAGTATATTCACTAAGTATATTGAGTTGTTATATTCCAGGGATCTAAGGGGATCCTTGAATGCATGCAATTTTTTTTTTCGACTCGTATTTCGCTTGTTTCATTACATGACTTGAATACAAGATTGGAAGATTCATACCATCATTTTGTATTATCTTATTCTTATTTTCAAGGATTCTGGAGCTTTTATTGTTAATATAAAGTTATTCTCCTATTTGTTCACGTTCAGAACCTTTTAATTGTCGAGTACCATACTGAATTTTATCACCAAATGCTAGGTTACAAAAAAATTTGATTCCAGCCGTGAGTAGCTTGTTTTGAAGTACCCAACAATGTTCTAGCATCAGCAGGTTACAAAAAAATTTATTTGTTCACGTTCAGAACCTTTTAATTGTCGAGTACCATAATGAATTTTATCACCAAATGCTAGGTTACAAAAAAATTTGATTCCAGCCGTGAGTAGCTTGTTTTGAAGTACCCAACAATGTTCTAGCATCAGCAGGTTAGTTTTTTAGTTTATAAGATTTTTATTACATTTAATATGAAAAAATATATACAATCTATAAATTTACAACATGGATCAAATCAAATCTTCATTTGAAGATAACAAAACAATTATTTAAACTATAATAAATTCACTCAATTATTACTTTAATCAAAATGCGACTGCGATTCTCAAGGGCAAGAAATACCGGAAAGATTACGAATTGTATATATGGAGACGGCTCTTAGAAGTTTTGTCGATCGTATCAAAATTCCATTAAAAAATTTAATTAAATCATGTAGATTCAATGGCTTAAATCAATGGTTCCCAACCTTTTCAGTGTCACTACCCCTGAACAAGTATGAGAGTGGAGTTTACCCCTAGCCAATTTAAAATAAATAAAACCACACAAAATCGATGAAAATATGTTTATTATCTAATTCTTAACTATTTCTAAGAAATTGCATGTTTAGGTAACTAGTAATATAAAGTTATATGTAAATCTTAGAGTACTAGTGCGAAGGTTGAAATTGCTTTGCATTCACAAGTTTCACAATATTAGGTTCAGTTTCACTCAACGAGCATCTCATATCATGCTCAATGTTCATACGATTTCTGGCTTTTGTTTTTATTGTAAGAAGAGTTGAGAAATAACTTTTAATAAGTTATTTTCACGCAGCCCGAGAAACTCTACTTTTGCTGACACATCTTCGTCTTTGAATATATCGACGCAAGTAGAAAATGGTCTTAAAATCCAGGAGTAGCACTCACGAATGTCCATGTCGGGAAAATATTGCTGCAGTGAGTCTATCACGGCAGTTAAGTGTTACACCACAGAATTTTCAAATGTGATTTTGTCTCGTTTATTATTTAGTGATTGTTCGCTTAGTTGTGTAAACATTGACACATCACCAGTTTGAACTCTGCGTTGGTAAAATTCCAATTTGCGTAAAAAACTTGCAATTTTATCCTGCAGCATCAAAATATTTGTTTCATTTCCTTGCAGTGAAATATTCAGATTATTAATTTCAGTGAAAAAATCAGCAAGGTACCCCATTTTTATAACAAATATATGGTCTTTAATTTTGTCATAATATTCTTTTTCTTTTTGAGTTCTCTGGTTTTCAAAAAACAATCCAATTTCTTCTCGTAATTCATAGACCCTACTTAGAACTTTGCCTCTTGATAACCAACGTACCTCTATATGGTACAAAAGTGCATTAAATGCAGCACCAACTTCATCACACAAAACTTTAAATAATCTTGAGTTAGTAGCGCTGCCTCGAATACGATTAACAATTTTTACTATATCACTCAACGTGTTTAGCAAATCTGGTGGTAGTGTTTTTACAGCCAAAGCGTAACGGTGTATCAAACAATGATAGTTGAAAACTTGAGGAGCAACTTGTTTCACAAGAGACTGAAAACCAGAACGGACGCCCATCATGGCAAGTGCCTCGTCTGTACAAATACCAACCAGCTTTAACCAGTCCAGGCCATTTTTCTCAATAAACTCTTTTAGAGTCTGAAATACGTCTTCGCCGCGAGTAGTAGTGGGCAAAGACTTGCAGAACAAATATTCCTCCTTCACATCATCATTTTTAATGTATCGTGTAAACATTAATAATTGTGAACACGAAGCAACATCTGTGGACTCGTCCAACTGCAGTGCAAACATAGGACTTTCCTTTATTTTAGCAATAACGGTTGCTAGAATATCGGCACTCATTTCACATATGCGTCTTTGAATGGCATTGTTTGATAGTGGTATTTGGTTAATCTTAGCTATATGTTGCTCACCTATAACAAGTGTTACCGCATCTAATATGCAAGGTTTGATGAGGTCCTCTCCTATAGTGTGTGGTTTTTTATTACGTGCGATACGATACACAATTTTGTATGAAGCTTGAAGGCATGATTCATTTGCTTTCTGTATGTTGCCTGTAGAATCCATGCGCGAAAACTTTAGAATCTTCTCCTTTTTCTTAAAAAAATCTATATTTTTATCTGCAAACTTTAGCAAAATGTTCTTTTAAATCGTTCGGTTTCATGCTTTTGGCGCTTTTTGCCAAATGGAATAGAAGCCATGTCAAAAACACCTGTAGGTACCTAAAACAAAAGTTAACTAATACATACCAACAAAAACAAGTCACTCGTGACAATATAAACGTGACGAACGTGACGATATTAACAAACACTACTTACCTTTGAATTTAAACAATACGATTTCTGCAATGCGCGGTGGAACAAATAAAATGCGTTATTTAATAAACTTAAATAACTCAACACAATTTTCATACATTTACTACCGATACTTCGTTAAATAAAACTATTTGGTTATGTGTCCTTCTTGACGTCCAGCCGGAAATTTAGAGTCGTAGAAATGAATAGAGTGAAACTCGAATGTGAACTCCATAGAGAAATATAGTTGGCACATAGAGGCATAAATGTGTCGCTATATAGATGAGGGTGGGAGAAAGAAAAAGGGATTGTATTGTCTGTTCTGACAGAAACGTCACCATTCTTTATAAAATGATCAAAAATAAATTAATATTATAAATGTATATCCTTCAATGACCACAAATTTTTATCAAACATACACAATAAAATCAAGTTTACAGCCGGTACAGTAAGTGTTAATGTTTATTATAAAAAAATATGTTGAATATAATGGCATTAGATAGTTGGTGTTTCTATACTGAGCTCTAAAGTTATACTAAATAAAAATTATTAAAAATTAATATTAACAATATTAGCCCCGCCCGTAAGGCGGGTTACATTAATTTATGAATCTGAGGGGAATGATTTCTTAGACTTAGTTCAAGTCATTTTGCAGACACATAAAAAGCTATCGACGCGGATGTAGACGGTCCTGACACATAAATTAAGCCCAAAAATTAAAATATCTTATATTACTAATGCGTTTGTACATGAAAGTGTGAAAGACATGCAGACGACGGTCCACGTGGCCTGGCGACTGTCCATCGTATCGGAATACGAGACGATACGACACCCTTACAAAAAAAAAAAAAAAACAGTTTAGGTTACCTCCATTGGGAATCCTTAACAGCTATTATAGCTACCGGCTAAACTAACTGGGATGGATCATTCGTTTTATTAACGTTTGACCGGAGCTAGTCGCAAAATATTGCGCAGTGTGCAAAAGCAGCGTGCCCATTCACCGGTGAATGTGCACTAGAGATGGGTAACTCACTCCGATACAACTCCTTCCTCGGAGTGAATCCGAGTGGAATCGTCTCACCGGATTTGTCATATCCGACTTTCCCAAACTAGTACTAAATCTGTTACCGCGTTTTTGCTTTTACACAATTATATAATTGTGTAAAAGTAATAATATGCTAATGGAACTACCCGATATAATATTAATTCTCGAATGGAAATAGCAGAAGAAAAAATTAGAAAGCAAAAGTATTATTATTTGGTGAAAATATTTTAGGATAAATGTTTTGCTTTTATTACAAAGTTTACTACAATATTTTTATATACAATTAATCCAAAAAATCAATTATTTTCTCATCAAAAGAAAATAATTAAATTA